GATTCCAGAGGCAGGAGCTGATGTAACAATCATGGAGGGAAGCTGCTTACTGGCTTGCTTCCCATTGCTTGTTCTGCCTGCTTTCTTATAGAACCCAGGACCACCAGCCTAGCAATAGTATCACTCACCATGAGCTAGGCCCTCCCCCATTGATCACCAATTGATAAAATGCTTTACAGCTAGATCTCATGGAGGCATTTCCTCAATGGAGTCTCCTTCCTCTTTGATGACTCCAGCTTGTGACAAGTTGACACAAAACCAATCAGTACAATATGTACATAAAGATTTTTGAGAGCAGGAGAATTATTTTTCCCTAAGGATGAACCTACTCACTATCCATCCAGTTCCAAGAGGTCAGTCTCCACAACATACAAACAGGCAACCCTTAGGAGAATCATATTTATACAGTTATATGTATGTATATACATTCTTTGTAACAATAATAATTAAAGAAGATGTCAGACATTTGAGATGGAGTGTTGTGGGACAGGAGACAAGTTGGAATGAGGACTTTTTCCAGAAAAAAAAAATCTTTAGTTGTGATAATGTGGGTGAAACTGAAATTAGTTCAGGCAGAGAAAGATAAGTTCAAATGATCTCTTTAGAATAATAAAAATAAAGAATTGTAACTCACAGAAGTTGGAGATGGTATGGTTTTTTTCCATCAGCCAGAGACATCAGGAAGCTGAGTCTTGGGGACTTAAGGAAAATAGATGCCCTGAAACAGTATGATAAGAGGGTGATCAATGCTCAGTATTGTCCCTGAATGCTGGATGTGTGTAAGCATTATGTAGGGTACATTTCAGATGCCTGATTTATAGTGTTTCAGGTGGTGAGCATACCATAACTGAGGATGATCAAAATTACTGCAAAATACCCCATTAATACTTAAATTGCTGATAATTTCATTGTATTATTAAAAAGGAAGAATAATGTAGGACTGTTCTCATATGTCATTCTTGGGCTTTCCTCAATAGGATGAAAAACATCTGTGTGGCGGTGGCATATGCCTTTAATCCCAGCACTCGGGGGCAGTGTCAGATAGATCTCTGAGTGTAGGCCAGCCTGGTCTTCAAACCAGGTTCCAGGACAGTCAAGGCTGTTACACGGAGAAACCCTGTCTCAACAAACAACAAACAAACAAACAAACAAGATGAAAAAACAGAATATCTGAAACTAGAAAATTTTGAAATAGGAAAATAGTGGCATCAGCTTCAGCACACTGATGCACAGGTGTCATATGTGGAAAGCATGCTTAGGAATATCACAAACACATCAGTAGATAGATTCCTGTCAGAGAAAAGGAGGTAGAAAGTAGAAAATGACTGAAGATCAGAGTTCTGTTTTTAAGTTCTCAGTGTTGATATCCTATACTGCTGATTTTTCATGTGTTCACAGTTTGTATTTTTCTGTGAGTTCTTGTTTTGTTGTTCTAACCT